TTAATATATTTTATTATAGTTAATATTTTAAATTTGTTTTTATTTTTATGTTTTCATTTTAATTTTAGGTGGTATTTTATCATTTTTATTATTATTATTACTTATGAATTTATTTATGTACTTTAATAACCCCGCTGTTGGAGGGTGTGCCTAACTCATTTGGGGAAACACTAAAGCAGTGACTCAAATGGTTTTGGACTCCATGCTCCAGGGCCGATGTTTGGAGAAACTTATTTGAATGCAGTATTATTTTTTTTCAATTCCGCTTGGGTAACTAGTGATGCAGAAATTACACACTGCACCTTTAATAAATAATATCATTATATAAACATTTGGTAACTGTAAGGTTTCCATAAGGTAAGACTTAAGGTGTGTCTACTGAAAAAAAAAAATTCCACACGAGACACATTGTAGCTGACATAATCTTCCAGTCACCACTTAAAGTAATCGGATCTGTTTCAGATGAATTATGTTTGAAGAGAGCGATGTGTTAGTTAAAATGGGAGACAAGATGAATTAGTTGCAAACTGCTGACTTGTTCTCTATGCCAGTATCTGCATGAGATATTGATGTACAGCATGGACGCAGCATCATTCTATTATTCTATAGGCTCAGTGTGAATTGTGTTGTGTATGTGATCGAAGTGCATTATTTACAAACAAAATCATAATCTTTCAGCAGCAGTCATATTAGTCAGGAAAATGACTAGCCTTGACTGAAAGATGCCTGAACAATGATTTTTGTTTGGCTTAGTTCTGTAACACTGCCTCCATACTAGTAGTTCTCTTTGCCGTGTGCTTATTTGCAAACTGCACAATGACATTGATTTATTTGTATTGGTAATTTTTATATATCGAAGCACATAAGTCAGCGTGGGTGACAGTAGGTAGTTTGTGGAATGCCAAATGCTGTTTTTCCCTCTTAGTAATTCACTGCCTTAGTTTAATTTGACATAATTGTAAGGGCCTCATCTTTGGTGTTCAAATGTGAAGGAAAAAAAAAACATTATGTGAGTGTATGAAATGAAATGAGATGCTGTATAAAATGAGGTGTTGGTGGAGATATGAGAATGACTAACATCAAGTCACTCATTTATGTTGCCAAAATACAAATATGCTGCTTGACTTTTGTTGATGTAATTTTCATAATGCTGACATGTCATTTTCATGTCATAAATTGGAGAGTAGAATGTGTTTGTGTGAATGTGATGGAGGGCGATACAATATATGTATTATGTATCTACAGTTGAAGTGAGCTTTTACTGTATATGTGCACTATGTTTCTGCTCAGGGATCCCTTGAATCCAGGCAAAATGAGCAGAGCTATACATGCAACACTATGTTTAGTGCCTCTCTTGGAGAGTAAACAAACTTAATACCTCGCCATGCCATGACAACAGCTGTTGTAATACCCAGGCTCCCGTTTAACAATATACTCACTTTCAATTCTGTATACATTTGGTCTCTGTGTTATTCTTCTTTTTCTCTTCGTTGATATTTCATTAATGCTAAAAATGTAGTTGTGCAATCTGTTTAGAGAGAATTTCACTGTGATATTGGTATTTTACCCCTTTGAGCAAAAGATGACCACAAGATGGAGACATTGACTCTTATGCCGGCATATTTCCATTTACTTTGGAAATGGATCGCTGAAGTATATGAGCATCAAACTAAAGTCAGTGATATTTGGCAGCAAACCCCAAATTCCCCAAATAAGTTGGCACTTCCTTTTTAAAAACTTGACATTTTCACACATCCACAAGCGTTATCCCCTTAGGCTAGTCATGATGGATTGGATGTGACGTTAATTTCCTTACAAATCTCTTGAAATATTTTTTGGGCCAAGTTTTGTTCTGGCAGTGTGTCTTTTGAAATACATACGTTTGGCAGCCACCGATCTGGTTGAAATTCCAAAGTACTGTTTGACACGGCTCTCAGTCAGGGTGAATTGATGGTTGTTGACAGATGGCTAATTATATCCAGGGGACTATTTGTCTGACTTGACCTACAAGAGGTGGTTACTGTTATTTTTAAAGGTGATAGACTCAAATGAAATGATGAAGGAGTTTCCATGAGAAGAAGGGAATAGGCTCTATTCACAAACAAACTTGATTAGATTTTAGTCAGCCTACATGACGGCCATTGAAAAAAATAGACCTACAAGGATTTTGGCTTGAGTTCTCATACTGTGGATATTTTGCATGGTTTATTATTAAAGATGGTGGAGATTTGCTGTGATATCTCAGCGTAGTTATTGATTTTGAACAAAATAGCCACAGCAGGCTTCTTGCATGGTTTATATGTAGGCTGATTCCTGGACCTAGAAAATAATGAAAAGTATTGACCAGAAAGTTGACAACTGAACCGAAACCGTAAACATGGGAAGGAAAACCCAAACAAATGCCACACTGTTGCTAGATGTTTCTTCGCAGACCTACAATTGAACTATAATGTCGTCTTGCATTAGTGAAAATGATAGAGAGCCTGTAACTAATGTGCCAGATTTCGTCAACTTTTCTCCCCTCCCGCTGGCTGTTTTTCCCTCTAACCCCACTTCAGTAACAAGACATTGTATCCCGCAGGCAGCCAGACGGACATTTGATGCGCGGTCGCCGCCGGGCAAGCGTTGTTTGACATTCAGCTGCTCCCTACATTATCTGCTAATTGACAGCCCCTATCTGCCCTCCGGCGAGCCAAGATGACACGTGTGGGAAGGGCCGAGGTGAGGGGAAAATAGGGAAGTGCCAATCACCAACAGATTATCAGAGCGAAAGGGTGGTAACGGAGCCTTAATCTGGCCTGGCTGCTGCAGGTTTTATGGGTTAATTGTTGGTGGTGCAACAGACCTCTTTCTCCAAAGTACTACACAAATACTAATTGAAACTCATTGTGTTTTAGTCTTTTAGATCTGTGATGGCCTTCACTTTCACATGTCATTGCGGTCTACTAGACTGTAAGGTGTTCTATTTGTCATTTTAACAATTTCATGCATGACTTATTAAATCACAAAGTAATATTATTTTTTTTATGTTTTTACTTTTAAACAAGTGTAAAATCATGACAATAACTTTTTTTCCCCAATATATTTTATTTTGAGGGAGTTACATATCTGTCCACTGTAGTGGACACCATGCATCAAAGGTATAAAAAGTGATTCAATAGAACGTATTGTTTGGTCTTAAAAAAAAAAAAACGTTTTTAAAACATGTATTACGAGCAAATGGTATGAATACACAGAAGAACCAGTGTTGCCAACTCTCACAAGATAAATAAGCAACCGCAGCTTCAAAAACAAGCACATTATTATTTATTATCATCAATATTATTTATTATCAATTGTTTATTATAAATAAATGAGCCTGCAACATAGTAAACTGAAACCACTCAGAGACTGAAGAGCAAAAACAGAAGTTATTTTACAAAAATCCTCAAACTGTAACAAAGCAGGAGGGCACACACTATCCTCAGATCACCTGCGAGCAGAATAGTTTTGGAGATGAAAAAGGAAAATAATACAAGAACACTAAGGGGAGCTTTAATATAGCCACATATTTATAATAAAATAAACTCAAACCATATGTATTTAATATTGGTATTACTGCTTGTTTATTTATTGATTTAATGATTAATGCATTATAAAAATATTTTTCAAAAAATACTATTCACAGGTGAGCACAAATACACACACACACCCTCCCACCACACACTCAAACACAATCATGCACACATATCTCTGCACTCATACAGTACATGCCTACACTTTTAAATGTAGACATGTACTGTATTTACATTCATTTAGATTAAATGGAATCGTAGACAGCACTTTAGGGGTTCGCCAGTTGGTGTTTGGGACATGGTACTACAACTTAAATGGCTCAAAATGGATTCCAAATATCTGTCCACTCTGGATGCCATGCATGAAAGGATTATGGACAGCAAGAAATGAAAATTCACCCTATTTTAGAAAAACATGTTATTGATCTTATTGTGAACAATTGTTTTATGCAAATGTTTTATTATTATTATTATTATTTAAATCTTTCAGTAAAACTACAGACATCTCTCTGGTAACGTTTGCTAGACTTCAATCATTTAGTCTGATTAAACCCGTCACTTACTTACAATCGATTGCAAGCTCA